CACGACAATGACATTGCAGTCACCAACTGTGCCCTGTCCTATAAGGGAGCGTTCTGGTATAAAAACTGTCACCGTGTCAACCTCATGGGACGATATGGAGATAACAGTCATAGCAAGGTAAAGTATCGCTGCATTCAACTCACCGTGCAGTTATTGAATTTTTCTAAAATACAGGTTGACTCTTAAATCGTGTCTTGAGAGGCTTCTGTGGGGCACTGAGGGCCCTTGGAGGAGCTGGTTTCCTAAAGAGGGTTCAGCCATGTTTGAAGGGGTCCCTAATGGTTTCTCATTGGTCTTTGGTCCAAGGAAATATCCCAGTGAAGAACAAGTGTGCTCTCTGGATTTACCCTGATCTATATACAATGTGTATTCACTTGGAAATCTTAACAGCAAAGGTCATCTCATTGAAACAAAATCTAACAAAAAGGGTGTTTTTGGCCAATTCTGGCCAATCCCAAAAGTTCAGTGACAAGGAGGACAAGGTCTCAAGCAATTCTGATTTCACGCAGGAGACATTAGTTCATAGACCTGAAATTAAGGTTTTAAAATGATAACCACAATCTCTTCCTGACCTAAACCAAGTGTTTTAGTTCTTTGACCCTGCGTTAGGGTCACAGACTCAGCAGCTACACTGCTACAGAGATGTCGCATGGAAATAACAACTCTGATTGGTCTGCTTGTGTTTTATTGTTCATTTTTTTTTTCTCTATACTGTATTTAATGAACAAGTGATGATAAAACTGTTTAAGACTTCAGTAAGAAAATCAACCTGTAATATAAAGTGAGGGGGGCATGCCTCCCCCGTCCCTGGATGCCCTTGTAAAGTGAAAACAAGAAGAAGCAAGTGTAAGGAAGTGCTCAGTTATCTTCTCTTTTTCAGTAATACACATTTAAACAAATCCAGCTGCTCTGCAAACTCTCTGCTCAGCACAGTTATCATCCTTTATCATGGTGAATGAAAGAAGGGAGTACTCTCTACCAGGATGTAATTCCAGTTATATAACTATGTGCATAGCCCATCGTCATCACTTTGTAGCACAAAAAAAAAAAAAAGAAAAAATGTAAATGCAGTTAAAAACATGATACAACTGGACAAATCAGATGCTAAATTAAAAATCAGAACCTACGCTGTAGGTATCTTTGGCCCCGTTCAGACCTGATATTAACTTCCATCTCAGGTGATCTGATCACAAGTGAGTCAGCACTAAGTCCAGGTGTGAACGCAGCCAAGGCCGCATTGAGGACGCAATTTAGATCTGATCACTCAGACCACATTCAGCGAGGGTCTGGGCCGCACGTGTCCACATTCTTCAATGTATTCTACAAATACACTGAAGGACCGCCCACTCAACGGAGGGCCACTGCCACAGTTTCATAATGAACCGAAAATATTTTGCTATTTCAAATGGATATAACCGTATTTCATTAAAGCTGTGCTCAGCGCACTGATTCACTCAACCCCTCTGCACCCTGCTCGCTCTCTCTGTCTCTCTCACATACACACACACAAGCACATTGTCAACGGACCTGTCTGTCGGATTGGCTGAAAATAACAACACGTACCTGCTTATTTGCATATAACGCAGGAAGTGAGATCTGATCACAAGTGGTCAGTCCAGACACGTTATAAATCCAGTGAACTGACAAACTCGGAGCTGACCACATGTGATCAGATCACTGAAAGACACATGTTAATGCAGGTCTGAACAGAGCCTTTCGGCGGGTCGGCCATTAACCCCTTGTGTCAAATATAAATATAGTTCAACAATACCTCAACCATTGTTTATTTGCTAACAACGATCATTTCCTTAACCTTAACCATACTGTAGTTGCCATGTACAGAGAAAGAAAGAATTTTAAAAACATTGGTATTGAACAAAATTGTCCAGTATTAATGTTTTTGTCTGGCAATAGAGTTGCTTTTGCTGTAATATGAATCTGTGACAGGACCATGGCTAAAGACTATCTCCTCTTCTCCAGGGTGTTAACTGGTTCCACTGGAAAGGCCATGAGCACTCGATCGAGTTTGCCGAGATGAAGATCAGGCCTTCCAACTTCAGAAACCTGGAGGGAAGGAGGAAACGGTCATAAACGATCCAGAAAGCTCCACCACCATCACTAACAACAACACTGCTACTACTCTGTCTGGACTCCCCTACCAAGTTTCCCGGACTGTGTGCACCACCGTACCCCCTACTACCACCAAAATGCCATCGCACACCCAGCGTACGAAGCCATGGCCAAGAAGGCCGCTGCTGCCGTGTATCCACACGCAAAACCTTCCTCCCTCCCTTTTTTCTCAGAAATCAGCCTCGACTCCATAACCCCCCTTCCCCCTGTGATACGGTTGTGGAAATACTGCCAGTGCTGAAATCAATGTGCATGTTACAAACTGGAATTAAAAATCAAGCCCACGCAGATTCTACTCACGCACCAAAGAGAGCAAAAACGACTCCATCTCACCTGATTCTGATCCTTCCTCTTGTGTTGCAGCATTTGTGGGGAGGCGTGAGTGCAGCTTGGGCATTATGTTGTGTACAGTAATTAATACAGTTCCCTATCTCACATCCAAGCCACGTTTGGGGTATTACAGAAAGGACAGGCTGTTTATAGTACAATGTGTTCTTGTTTAGGTTCAGGGTCTCTTTGCTAAAACTGCTAAAACAGTGATAATTCAGATGGATTATCATTCTATTCCTTGTACAGTACTGTACATGTATGCATCTGATTGAAACATTTGAAAAGGGATATTCCTCAGATGGCACCGCTGAGATGTCAAGATATCTCCATCCAACTCGCCATTTGTTTGTCTTTGTGCAACTTCACTTGTGTCAGTGTCACCGTATCCTCCCCAGGTCCCCTCGTCTCCCTCAACACAAGCCAACATCTGAAGTGATACAGATGGAAATGTAAAGAGAAAAAAAAACAATTCTATGGAAAAGTATTTCCCATGTCCACCTGGATGGCAATGTTTCCATTCATTCTGTGAGCACCTGAAGGGCATCATACTACAACCACAGTATTGTGTTTTAAAAACCTAAAGAACAAAGAAAAGAAAAAAGCTGACGTGTTTCGATTTCACTTATGAATCCAAGGCAGGACCTGTTATTCAGTATATAATGACATGCGGTGATGACGTTGTTCTTTCTTTCTTTTTGCAAAATGTGAATACAGTACACGCTGTATATGTGGAACAAGAGAATGTTATAGATGTTGATGCTCAAAACATGAGAAAAGGCCAATTCGGATTGAATTCCAGTTGACATAGTACGGCCTCAATGCTTATGTTGATGAAAATAGTGTTTGAACAGGCCAAAACTAGAGAACTAGTTACTGTTTCTTACCCCCCCAACACCCACGACCCCCTGCCCCTATCCCCTGCTATGGCAGGATACTAAACCACTGACCTTCTAAAGAATGCCTGTGTAAATTAAGTTTGTTTTATTGTTTTGTTTGTTTATAACTGGGTGAACAACAGGTGTTTCTCTGTAAACTGTATTACAATAAACAGTTTGTTTAAAAGGAAGATGTTCCCGTGTCTTTGATGTCTGTGATGAAGAAAAGCTGATGCGGTCTCGTGGTCTTCCTCAGTCGTCATGGAGATTCTTAAATTAATGAATTAGCAAGATTTTAGGGTGCTGAATACAACTGATACATCATACTGAGTAGCTGCCAAGAATGCCTCATTACTTCCTGATTATCTGACCATTACTGACTCTTTTTGTATAAACTGATGCACCATCATACAAAACTAACAAGTAGCTGCTGGATGTTTACAGAGGAATTCACTGTTAGTAGCAGAGACATTGGGATTCTCAACCAGTCCTCAAATCATCATATTCAGACCACATATATAGTAATATTCACATGATGTCATAGCCTCAAAAATAAATATAAACAGAGTAATTACCAGTACTAGTGTAATTACTGTACACTTAATGACTTGATCATGGAGCTGTGGGAAAATAGCTTGAAATACAAGTGCTTACCTACAGAGCGTCTCAATGTGTGGCAGAAATAGTAAATAGCAGAGGTGGACAAAGTCCACAACTTCATTACTTGAGTCAGAGTACAGATCCTCCAGATATGGTCAAATATTCATCCAATACAAGTGACTTGATCTTAAAATACTTAAGTACATTTGTTATTGTGTCAACACATTGTTGTATTGTTTTCATTCATTTACAGAACCTAATGACTCTGAAACAACTTACCGACTGACTGACTGACTGACTGACTGACTGACTGACTGTAGAACATGTAGAATAAAGAGCTTATAGGATATACTTCAAAGACTATAATCGTCATAAAAACACAATTGAATCAACAAAAGGAGCCATTGTTGTTTTCGTATTTCTTATTCTTTGTGAATGGGTGAAGTCTGGTCGTGGTAAACACAGCAAACATTTTAAATGAGGTGAATGTTTCTTTTATTCTAAAGCTTCCAACAGACTTCAGATCAGACCGTGGTCTCTGGTGAAGAAACTTCTGCCTCATCTTTATCTGACGTCACTATCGTTAAGACACTGACATGTTCATGACTGACAGTGGAGGAGTTGACTGTCATTGGTTTTTCTCCTGTGATGAACACAGTGTGTGGTCTATTACATTTTTACATTTCAAAGAAAAGTTATTCCACTGACTAAAAGCTCTGCTTCAAAGTAAAAGTACTTCACAGAAATGTAGTAAGGGAAATTCAGGTGTCCAGCAGCTCATTAGGGTGTAGGTGATCCACTTATTTAATTGAAATAATTTAAACTATTTAATTTAATTATTTAATCAATTCATTATTATTATTATATTTATATTTGATTTAATCTATTTTTTATTTTAATGCTTTATAAATAATGCTCTCTCTCTCTCTCTCTGTCTCTCTCTCTCTCTCTCTCTCTCTCTCTCTCTCTCTCTCGCCTGCTAAGCCTGGGTCAGTCGGATATGTGGATCCCTGCCGTCTTTGGCAGAGATCTATTTCCTGGTACTCTGGGTGGGAGTGGCCGCTGCCCTCGACCGGGAAGCTGTAAGACTCCGGTTTTTCTTCTTTCGCGTCGGACGTGTAAATGACGAGAGAGGTCCCTACGCCGAAACGCGCTGATGAAATAAAGAAGTTTCTTCTTTGAGGCAATGAGGAAAACTTTCTCCTGGAGGATTGTCAAATTACTCGCCGTGTCAGCGCTGCTCGTCCTGTCTGCTCAGATCTTTGTGAGTACACCGAGTAAACACCTACCAAAGCCCAGCCCACTTCCTGAGGACGAGTACAGGGTCATATCCCCTGAAACATACCAGTATATTCTCAACCAGCCCGCTGTATGCCGGGACAGAAGCCCCTTCCTGGTCTTTATGGTCCCAGTTGCCCCCCAGGAGGCTGCAGCAAGGGAGACTATCAGGAAAACATGGGGTGCACCAAGTCAGGACACCCTCACTCTCTTCTATATGGGGCTCCCTGAGGGGGGGCACCTGTCCGGCATCCAGGACAAGCTGGAGGACGAGAGTAGGAACCATGGGGACATCATCCAGATGAGCTTCCAGGACAGTTACCAGAATCTGACCATCAAGACCGTGATGATGATGAACTGGCTGGAGACCCACTGCCCAAAAGCTTCCTACGTCATGAAGGTGGACGCTGACATCTTTGTGAATGTGTTCTACCTCCTCAGTTGGCTGAGGAGCTCCCCACGACAGAGCTTCATCACAGGGTCAGTGATCAACGACGGCCGGCCGAGGAGGGACAGCAACAGTAAGTGGCACGTGTCCCAGGAGCAGTACCCTGAAGACAGCTTCCCTCCATATGTGTCCGGGGCTGGGTATGTCTTCTCTGCAGACATGGCCGGCAGGATCTCCCGGGCGTCCAGGTTTGTCCGGATGATCCCTCTGGAGGACGTGTATGTGGGGTTATGTCTGCGCGTGCTGGGCGTCCGGCCCGTGTACTCCATCAGCCTGCTGAGCCTCAGGAATCTCTTTGAAATAAGAAACTTGGAGTACAACAGGTGCACCTTCGCCAAACTCATCATAGTCAATGGGTTCAAGCCATCACAACTGCAGCGTGCTTGGCAGGATTTCTCCGAAGGCCACACCAGCTGCTGACAGTAAAGTTTACCAAGTGCTTCAGTGTTCAGACTGTATGAAGGAACATTAAACAAAATGGAGTAAGTAGCCTGCTGTAAAGGAAGAAAGCCATTACACACACAGCCATGCGGTCAGGGTGTCCAGATGAAAGGGTATAGCAATGTTAGCGAACATTATACAAATATTTAAATGAAACAATCAGAGAATATACTCTGCTATACATACTCTATTAATTAAAATCGACATGTGCAGCCTGTTTAAAGCGGCCGCCCGGCTTTTGTTTTTAAAGGCCACAAGCCAAAGATGTCTGGAGCCAATGGTTTAAATCAATGCTCAAGCTAAAACAGAGAAACTGTGCCTCTCTGATTCATTGATTTGCTGCTTGTTGCTGCTTTTTTATAAAGTCATGAATTCAATATCTTTGTGTTTTGGACTGTTGGTTGGATTAAAAAAAAAAAGCAATTTGAAGTTGTTACCCTGGAAACGGAGATGGGCATTTTATACACTAAACAATTCATTAAACACATTAATCAATAATGCAAACTAGGGCTGCAACTGGTTATAACTCATCCATAATTTGCATTATGGATGATTGAGCCAATTACTTTGTTTCTTAACTGATTGACTTCAGAAAAATGCCCATCCCAGAAACTCAAAGTGGAGTCTCCAAGTCTTGTTTTGTCTCACCAACAGTCCAAAGCCCAAAATATTCAGTTTACTGTCTGATAGGAAAAGCAACAAATTGCTGGAAGAATTACTTAAAAGTTTAAGTGATTATCAAAAAAGTTTCTGTTGTTCAACTAATCAACCAATTGAATGTAGGTCTGAAATAATTAGTTGAGTCATCACTTAGTTGATTAACAAAAAAACTTAATGAGGAACAAATTTGATGAGTGATAAAAATGTGTTTTATATCATCATAAACTGCTTATCTGGCGTTTTATAGACTAAACAGTAACTCAAAAAAAACAATTGACATAGTAATCAAAAATGAAAATTGTTTATCAATGAATTGATTAGTCATTTGGCAGAAAATAGTGAAAGTTACAAGAGACCACAGGGAGGTCTTGATAATATTCAGGTTACAATCACATCAGTACCGTCAAAGACCAGATAGCCTTTAACTCTCTGCAGCTGAATGTATTGAGAACTGAATACTGCTCTCTAATGCCTGTTGTATTCCAGAGTGTTGTATATTTGGTTCACCTGTGAAGCACCTTGTAGTTCTGCTGTTGAAAGCTGCTGTAGAAAAATGAATGTTTACGCATTTACATAGAATAAAAATGTAAAATGCAGCAAATGTCCTCCACTGAGGAGCTGGAACCTTTAGGTGATGCAGACTGAAGCCAAGTACAATAATCAAAATAGTTGCAGATCATATTTTTTTGGCTGTAACTGATAATGAAAATAGCTGCTGGCTGCATTAAATGGGTTTCAGCCTGACTGCAGAGGAGGCAACAACTCTTTTAGCCTTATTCACTGTATTCAGTCATTCATCTTCTTTATCCAAAATGTTGGAACAGACTGTAGAGTAGTGCTGTCCTAGTAGAGGTGTGAACATGACTTAATGCATCCTCAGAAATTGTAATTTACACCAAAGACTATTTAAACGTAGACCCATTTTACTGCCCTTGTACTTCATCTTCGTTTGTGCCTGACAGGTTGGGGGTCCACCTGTACTTTACTATGTTAAAAGTTAAAGATGAAAAGATGAACTTAATATATTGCACTGCTGCTGAGACCTTCACATAGTCTAAATATAAAATATAACCTTCTAAAATAACCTGCAGCTTAGCTTTGTTAGGTTACTGTGCCTCTATATTTACAGTGTGTGTCTTACAGTAAGACAGAGTGCCTATTCACACACGGTATGTGTTGTAGTTATATATGAGAACCAGCTGATGGCAGTATGTGTCAGCAGCTGACATGTAAGTTACACTTAACCTTTTGACAGTGATAATTATAATTACAGGTAAGAAAAAAATTGTTCTCAGACAAGCATTTATTAATTATTTATATTGACACCGCTGACTATGATACACTGTGCACCAAAATGCCTCATAGTGTCATACCTCATCTCGAGATATTGAAGCTCTATATTTTTACTGCATATTAATGGGGAAATATGCAGCAACCGACTATGTATAAATGTTTATCAGTGAATTTTTTCATGATATTCTGTCACCTTAATTTACTGTATTTTTTCATTTTTTATTTGAATGAATTAGGACATTTTGCCATCACTGTTTCATTATTGCTGTTATTGTTTTGAAGTTATCACTAGTACTTATTTAATATATGCTGGAATAAATGCTGTTTCCATTCAGACTAAATAAAAATATTGGACAAATATGGAACACACGCTTTATTTTTTATTTTTTTTTGATTCAAGATGTATTCACAACTGTACTGTAGTAGTTACATACAGCACAGAATGATACACTGTACATTGTGCTTATACAGTCAAATAAAGAGAAATACCACTTTTATTTGGGCATCATTAAGGGACATTAGGAAAAAGGAAATAGAAACACAAGGAACAACAAAAAGGGTTGAAAACTAAACATGTTAATAGCTAAAGCAGATATGGAACATGAGATGAAATATGCAGTGATGCAAATAGTATGTAGATCAGGGCTCTCCAACCTTTTCTACTTTGAGAGCTACTTTAATAAAAATAAATGTGGCTGAGCTCCTCACGTCTTATATTACTGGTCACATTTATTCACATACCGTATCAAAACACTCAAACTGATCTCCAAACCAAATCAGATGAAGAAGATCATTTAACAAGTCATCAAATATCAACTTCTAAAAACACATTTTCTACCAAAAACATCTGAAACTCACATCAGACAAAAATCTGATTCACGATTCAGTCAGACCTGAACACATAGACATGAGAACACCACCGCAAATAAACCTCCAGAATGGTTGTCAGTATATCCAGTGATACATATCAGAACTTAAAATAGATAATTCAGTTCACTTAATGTCAAAAATGTAAACAAACATAGGCTAAAAAAAAACTCACTGTATCCATAATATAGAAACTATAATAATAATATATACTATATAATAATAATAATAAAACTTTATACTTTCAGAAAAAATAAGTTGATTCCAATAAATTCCTGCATGATGTTTCAGATGGATTTCCAGTAGAATAGTTCAAAGCCTTGAAAAATAAGTTCACTCCATACCACAGTGATTAGGGGTTTTAATGTTAAAGGAACAGTACACATTTATGTGGACAACGTCCTGCTGTACCCTGCAGAGACAGGTTATACCACCCCATGACTGTCAACAACATCGTGGACACGTATGAGGTTTTAAAGTGAACTTATTAAAAACAGAAGCCCATTTGTGCTGTGGCAGGCTCTGCTCCACCTAGTGGCTTTCCTTTGGTTGGCCACCAAAGGAGATAACATACCTTTGAATAACAATTGGTCCCCCTTTTTTAAAAACTGAGTTAATCTTAAACCAGTCACCATGTGCATTAAGGAAGACTTGCACTTGTTTCCTGGTTAGAGAGGATAAGTGTGCTCAAAATGAACATGTCAGATGTTGTTGTTCCTCCTAAAGATGTTGCCAAACTCAGTTCCCAACAGCATTTTTTAAAAAATGTATATAAAATGTTGACACAATTCATTTGGCAGGGTTAGAATGAAGAGATGAATTACAGAGAGGCAAATAACACAGATATGAATGAGTGAATCCAGATAAAGACACAAATACATGGATTAATAATGAGTCAATTAACACTAACGTTGGCCATGTGGCAAAACTTACAAAAAGCTCCTTTAAAAAAAAAAAAAGGCCTGTTGCATATCACATGAACAGATTGGATGATAGTGACCTATGGAGAGCAGAAGGTAACAGCATTAGCTGCTGTGTATTGACTGGCCTGCTGACTGATGACTGCAGTGGAGCAGGTGAGTGGGCTCAGAAATAGACGGGTGCTGCTTCATGATTCAGCAGTGAGGCTGAGTGTCAGAAGATGGCAGCTGCTGGTGTATTTAATCACAGAAGGAGAAGGCTGATATTGTATGTGGTGCCAGTGTTGGCCCACGATCAAAAATCTGATCAAACCCTTGCAAGAAACATAGCGCACCGTCTTGTGGTAATACTGACATTCCTCAGCGAGGGGGGGGGGGGGTCTGACCCCCCTTGCTGAGACTTGGGCCCCCCCCCCCCCAAAGAGGTAAAAGTAACAGTTCAGGGGGGGTTGAAACATTTATCCTACTCACCTGGGCGGCTGTGGCTCAGGAGGTAGAGCGGGTCGTCCTCTAATTACAAGGTCAATTCCTCCGGGTCACATGCTGAAGTGTCCTTTGGCAAGAAACTGAACCCCACATTTGCCCTGATGGCTGTTCCATCAGTGTTTGAGTGTGCATATGAGTGTGATGTATGAATGTGACTGAATGGGTGAATGTGGCAAGTATTGTAAAGCGCTTTGAGTGACCAGTAAGACTAGAAAAATGCTATATAGGTGCAATATATTTTTCGTATTCATGCTTGGATCTTGTTCTAGGATTTCAGACACCCCTAAAGTGGGCCGTACCATTTCTAAACTTTGACGTTAGCTGCACATGTCATCTGCCTACCTGGCTCATGTCAACCCCTGCCTTTTTCTGTCATACTTTGTGGTCCTGCCTCTTTTTCAGGTGCTTAGTGGGCGGGGCATTGATCATCTGCACCAACTGTGATCACATGGCCCCGGGTGCTGCCAGCCTTTAAACAGCTTTGGCCTGTGCTTGGCCGTCTCTCTCCCTCTCCTTCCCTGGAGGCAGCTTTTTTGTTAGGATGGTTTAGCTCTTTGTTAGCTCCTTTGTTGTACTTTGTTTTCATGCACTTACACGCATTCACCATGCACACCCTACACTCCTGATTCTGCTGATATTCACATATATTATATTGATGATATTCATGGATTATTGTTTTATGTTCATTCTCAGGTGTTAAATAAATCATTTATTTTTGGCTGCTGGAACTGGTGTGTCTTCCATTTTGCCATGGTAACTCATGGTGAAAAAAACTATTCAAACAAATGTTAAGAAAAAGCAAAGGGGTGATGCTTGTCTATCATGCAGTGGAGGTGGCGATATGTTGTCGTGGAGAAGAACCCACGCACAGCAGTGCCCTGCCAGTGCTTTTCTGCCAGAGAAAATATGCTCTATTTTGGCTTCCACCAATCTCTGAGAGTAATATCTGGCTCTTTAGCTGCAGCTGCTCCACTAAGTTCACCAGTTAGTTGCATTTCCTTTCTGCTGTTTAGTGCTGGGCAGGTAGTGTGAGGGCAGTCTACTTAAGAACAGCCAATTCTGTGCATTAATAACTCCAGCAAATGCAAATAAAGAGCATTTTACTCAGAGCATGTTAAGACTGAGCCCTAAAGGGATAGTTTGGGTTATTTGACGTGGGTTGCCGTGCACGGGGGCAAGCACAAAAAAATGTTTTAGACACTTTTAAAAGACGCCCACTGAAACAATCCAATATCCGTTTAGATGTACGCCTCATGTGGAAGCGCTTTATCTTCCCGTCAAAACAGAACTTTCTTTTGGCACTACATTTTTTCAACAGCTGAACTACCGTATTCCTACGCACAAGCGGACCTACAGAGTTAGACAAAAGATATTGGATTGTTTCGGTGGGTGTTTGTGGTCTGCAGGTACTACACTGACTATGCATGACTACCTCACACAACCCCATGTCAAATAACCCCAACTATCCCTTTAAAGCAACATTTTCCTGACATTGGAGTGCTCCAGTAAGTTAGTATTTCACTTCCGTAGAGGTGAAGGACTCATAACAGGTCGCAGCAGATGTTTCCCGCTGGCCGAGCACTGATTTTTACTTAGAAAATTGGTGGAGTTCCTCTTTAATAATCAAGCAATTAAGTGAAGACCTGCAGAGTCCCATCATGGTCATAAATCCTGTCTCAAAAATTAAAAAATATAAATGAGGCATTAAACACATTCAAGTGTGTGGCATAAATAAAACATGAATATCCATCTAATGATCAATCTGAGAATGAAAATAATTATTTGGTTGACTTGCTAACAACCATAAAAGGCCATAACTTTTGATGTGGTTAACAAGTAAACATTATTTTAAGGGGCCAGAAGCCAAAGAAGTGTAGGAACAACTGCCTTAAACAATGTTAAATGCATATACTTATACAGTGTTAGCATGTTAACAAGCTCCATCATGCTCGCGAGTTCTCCGCATGTCTGCATTTTGTTATTTACTGTACATATTAAAGTGATATAAAGCTCCAGCTCAGCAGCTTAAATTAGCCTGTATTGTTGTGTTCCTTTTCTCATTTCACCATGTAAAGCTCTCCTCCATTCTCCACAGTGTCCATTTGTCTGTTATTTGTGTGCCTTCTGTTCCAGTCTATTCATTTCCCACACTGACTGAGTGGGAGTTTAAGCTCTGGGCCAGAGCTCTACATTGTTCAAAACACTCCCACCTCTGTGCTGTGCTGTATCTAGATACTTCTGATCAGCACAAACAGCTTTCCGAAGAGACTGTACTTCATTTCAAATGACCATTATGAGGCATTATACACTAATGTTTGGAGTATAATAAAGACTACATGCTTTTATTGTGAGCTTATTCCTTAAGTGTGGGCCTGAAGGGGTCCTGAAAGGATTCAAAAGTGCTCAGAAAAAAGCAATATCTATGAATAAATGAATAAATAAGCATTTATCTGCTATCATAGATTTTTAAATTCTATTATTTTTTTTAATGAATTCATTAATGTATTTTTGAATAATGAACTGACTTTCAGGTTTGATGTTTTATGTTGTTTTTGCAAACCTCTTTTTAAATTGAGCTATTTATTGATCATTTATTTGTAAATTGTTTTTTTATAATTCCTCTTCTTATTACCTAGTTCTAAAAAAAATCAAAATAATTCAGAAAAAGAGGATTCTAGTTTTAGTGTTTCTGTATTAACAAGATAGTTATCTTGTTAATACAGAAAAACGGAGCAGACTTTTTTTTCTCAAGTGAATGCATTACACTTCTGTAATTACCCATTCAAATATCAATGCATTAATTACTTTATAACTTAGTATAATTATTAAGCAATGAACACATTCATTTGTAAACAAATTTATTAAGGCATATTTTTAATGCGCAATAATTTATCAATTGATGAAATGCGTTACACTTGCGGTCCTCTACACCTAGAACGAGGAGCCGTGAAATGAGGTAAGGAGAAGCACCCACAGACTTTGACAGGCTGCCTGCCGCTGCTCGGCTCCGGCCGGCCCCTTCTCGTCGTGGGTGGAGTTAAATTCCCCCGACGTGCTGGTGAAGCTGGTTCCTAGGACAACCCAT